GTTTTTTGTTTCCGTGGGTATATATTACTGCTGTCGCCAATACAACCAAAAATCAAAGAAACAATAATACAAAAAGAGTCCTGTCACGTCCCTGTCTTCATTATCTTGATTAAGATGAATCCCAGATAAGAACTAGTACTATGAGTTAATTATTTTTTATTTTGATTTTACATCCAGTATTAGGATTTCATATTTTTCCTACTATAAGACATGAAGCCAACATATCCATTTTCAATTAGAATATCATTTTTATTCAAAAAGATATATACTTAATTGATTTTGAGAGACATAAAGGAAATATTAAAAGTGAGAAAACATAGTTCCATTTTGAGTATGAACATACTACTATGTTAGAATAGAAGATTTCAGATTATTACTATCATAAATAGTAACTCAAACAAGAAAAAAGGGAAGTTTCTATATTATAAGTATTAAAAGCTCATTGGGTTTCTTTTACTGATTCAATGACAAATTGACACATATCAGAATATCACTGCAAACGTTTGATTGATTCAACGACAGCCTTACTGTGCTCACGTGCGCCAGCCCCACATTCAATCAAAATCAAACTCAAAATCAAACTTAGCTCAGACTACCACATACACACATGCGTTTTCATAGTCTCATTGTTTTCATAATTTCATTGTGTTGATTTGTGTCTTTAAGTCCAGTGGATTTGAATTAGGATTCGACGCTGAAAAGATTGTGGAGTAATCCAAAATTTAAAATAATGCAAAGTTGTGTTGGTACAAAAGTCTGAATATGGATGGAACTTTGAGAGCTGTTAGATTCAAGCAAAGCTTGAACATGCCATATAATTTATGTGATCGTAAGACATAGTTTTAAACATTTCGAAATATTTGTCTTATTATAAAAGCTATAATTAAAATAAAATAAAAATTTTAAGTAAAGTATTTCCAATTTAGAACCTTATCATTCAAACAGATTAAACGTAAAAATTGCCACATAAACGAGGAATTAAATAATACTAGCTAGTAATTATTTCAGCATTATCAGCCACTAAAGGGCCAGCCATATCCTGCTCCAATCATGCGCACCTACTTAGGTAAAAACAACCCTCTTCCCTCTTAAATATCCCAAACCCTATTGTTGCTTTTTTTTTCTTCTTTATTTTTTATATTTAAAGTAACAATACGAATACAATAGGTGGGTAAGACCATCCAAACCAGCTGTTAAATCCAAACAAAAGTGGTAAGCAGAAGTTATAGGAGGAATTAATGATTCGATTTTGCAAGTGGGGTTGCACCTGACAAAGGATACATGATAATTGATCAAACATATACTATATACTTCCCTACTTTTAAGTTGATCTTTTTCGTGCCACAGTCACACTTATATTGGACAGCTTTCATCCATAAGGTTGGCGACAACAACGGCGTATCAAACAAAAATCTTATCTGCAATAAACGTGGCTTTCATTTAGAATTAATTATTCAATGAATTTTCTTTTCTTTTGATACTCAAATTTGTATTTATTAATTTGATAAACCATCTGACATTAACTAGCTTGCAAGTTGTATCTGAGGAGACGTTTCACTAGTTTGAGATTACAATTCAAACATTACAATTATGAGATGGATAGGATAGGGAATTTGAAAACTGTGCTCCCTCCAATAATCACACTTTTGTATGAAAGGAAATCACCTTATTAAGGTTTAATTTTTTTTTAATATAAAAGAGTATCACTCTTCTTGAGACAGATAAAATAAAATTGGATCACATAAATTCGGCTGGAAGGAATATATTTTTACTTTACTTGTCAGGTTCTTCATCCATTTCCGAATCAGCCGCAAGTTTTGGGTTTTCTATTTTTAGCTGTTACAATGAAGATTGCGATTAGGGCTGCCAAATTTGGCCCAAGCCCAAATAACCCGCCCAAGTTGAGCTGATTATTGACCCCCTCATTTATTGAAGAGATTTCTACCTTCCTATACACTATTTGAAATTTTATTACCCCCCCCTACACAAGTTTCAATTTAATTATATAGGCATATACAATTTACCAATTATATACATTTTAGGAATTACATGAGTATCCCTTTATATTAGGAATTGAATAAGGAATCAATTATTTCCCGTCCTTATTCTGTCTCTCTCTCCCCCCCCCCCCCCCCCCCCCATCAATCTCTCATTCCAGTAATGTAGAGCAAAGGGAAATAGAGCAGCAATTCCACGCTTATTGAAATTTCAGTAATGTAGAGCTGAAGGTGTTACCCTATTGGTGTTCAAATTCTAGTAATGTTGCACAATTGGTGTTCAAATTGAAATTGTCAATCAATAGATTTTGAAGGTGTTTGACTCTCCACCATTGATAGTCATTAAAAAACTTTGAAGCTTTGAATTCGAATTTGAGTTTTCAAAAACTATTATTTGTTTGGATTGGGCGTTGTTGCAAACCATTAAGAATATTCTTTGGAGTTTATATCTCAATTTTGAGGGTGTTTGGTGAAGATTAGACTTATTTTGGCTGAATTTCAGATTGAAACTCGAAGAAGAAGAAGAACACAGGACATACAATATATTTATGAAGTTGTAGTAAAGTTGTAGAGTATATATATATATTTGAATAATGTATGGATCATTGTATAAAATTTGTATTTAAGTTATCAATACTATTTTTTTTTTACATAAAGTTGTTGATATGTATCAAAATTGTATTAAGATAGTAAGTTTTGATTGGAATTTTAGAGAGGAAGAAGCACACACCACAGACAAAATATATACAAATCAAATACAAAATATATAGAAAGACATATTGTATAAAAATTATATTTAAGTTGTATGATATTGTAGTTGTATTTAACTAGGTAGAAATAATGTATGAAAGTTGTAAATAAGTTGTATAATATATAATTAGTTATATGAAATTTGTTTTTACTATGTATAAATTAGATACAAAATATACAAAAGACAAATTGCATAAAAATTGTATTTAGGTTGTATGATATTGTAGTTGTATTTAACTATGTAAAAACTATGTAAGAAAGTTGTAGATAAGTTATAAATAAGTTGTATAATAGTATATAATTAGTTGTATGAAATTTATTTTTACTATGTATATTATTGTAGATATTCAAATTTGCATTAAATTCGTACGAAATTTGTTTTTAATTTGTATGATGATGTACCATATATTGTTCTTTTTCTCAATTGATTTATTAAGTAAAGAAAAGTAGAGAATGATGAAAAGAAATGTGCATTTTAACATGTTAATCAAAGTTTATTTAATCAAATATTTTGGAACATAATAATAGTGGTAATAGACCTATTAATACAAGTGAAGCCATTACTTTCCTTTTTATAAATTAATAATACCCTTAATAGCCAATACACGATAGTTCATAGATTTTCAACTTCAGAAACAACAATATAAATAACAAAAAAGCTGACCTTGAAATCAGTATCCCTGATTTCTTCTTTTATCAACTATTAATCAAATCAGACCCAGTTCAACTGTAAATTAGTTTTGTTCGGCTACAACAATCCTCTTATTCATCCCACATTATCCAGGTCACTTAGCATTTAGTATTCATATGATTCATCTTAGATTCTATTATTTCAATGACGGTGATGCTGGTGTCAAATTGAGCACACCTCGACTTATGCACCTAATAACTGTTACTCACAGCTAGTACAAATACTAAGCAACTCTGTTACCAAGTCTAAGGCGTATGGGAAAAAATCACCTATTGATTTTTTTAAAGTGGAGATATATTCAAAGAGACTATAGAAAATTTGAAATTCTTAAACATATGAATTTTTAACAGCTTTTAGCGAGTAAACAATTTGCTCAATCCTAAAGAGCTGTGATCACATAAAGCATAGAATTATCTTTCCAGTAATGTAGAGCAAAGAAAAAGAGAACTGCAATTCCATGCTTATTGAAATTCCAAAAAATGAAGCTACGTGGCAGTGGCGGCACCGAAATGGAAGATGATAACCATGGAATATTGGTATTGATATTGGTAATGGTGGTTGAGGAGACAAAAAAACCAACATGCGTTAGCCGATGAATATTCTGGAGAGAAGAGGGGAGAGAGGAGAGAAAAAAGGAAAATGATGTAACTAAATCCCTTGATTGAAGGCATTAATAATGAATCGGGAGCCTTTTAAGGTGGATTGTATATATTTTGTAGCTAAAACGTGTTTAGGTCGGGTAAATACAAAAACATGAACATTTTTCGTAATATAGTTTCAAATAGTGTATAGGAACGAAAAAATCTCTTTATTGAACTCACCCTATCTTGATCCAACACGTCTCAACCCATTTAAAGTTGGGCTGATTTTTAACCCAAATTGATACATGAGTAACTTTGCCAAAATATCTTAGAAATAATTTTTTTTATTTGATATGTTATATATGACCATAATAAAAGAAAAAAGTATTATTTGCTAATTATACAATTTATAAGAAAACAACACATATTAAGTAAAACTTGATAAGAATTGGGCGGGTTAGGCTATGACCCATATTTTAGCCCATCTTGACCCAACACATCTTAGCCCAAATAACTTTTGAGCGGGGTCAAAATATTGACTTAACCCATTTTAACCCGCTTAAAATTGGCACAACCCGCCCGACACTCCTAATTACAAATTTGTTGGCCTCTCAGGGTAGTTTTTGGAATGTATTTCCTAGCGGCGACAAATCTACAAAATTGTGATAAAACTTTTCATAGCCTTCCACAAATCCCTACTTCGATGCATGAAAGTACGTGGGCGTTTGGACATAAGGATTATAAAATTCCGGAAAAAGTGACAAAAATTCAAGTGAAAATGGTATTTGAAAATTAGAGTTGTATTTGGATATGAATATAATTTTGGGTTATTTTTAAATTTTTGTGAGTGATCTAAGTGAATTTTTGAAAAACAACTTCTTGGAGTTTTTCAAATTTTTGAAAACATTCAAAATTCATCTTTAAGTGAAAATTGAAAAATCATGGACAAACATTAATTTCGAAAAAAAAGTGAAAAAAGTTTTATGGCCAAACGGGCTCCAAGTGCGTCATAGATTATGTGAATCAGAGAATAGAATTTACATCCTTTCCCCGTCACTACATCTCTCATTACCAGAAAAAATTCAACCCTGCGATACATGAAGTTTGATATATCGTCTCTATCTCAAAATTGAATTCAAATACACATTGACTTGTGCTTATTCTGCTAGCTCCCTGTGAATGTCACCTTTTCCATTCATTGGAGAGACAACAGCAAGAATAACCAGTCCACCCAAAACAACTATCAAGACACCCAAGCAGTTCACTAGCAATGCCTCGGTGGAGTAGCGAGAGATTATGTGGCTTGCTTGAAGGAATGTAGCTTTCTCTAATATGCCAGTAGCACAAGTAACAATAGCAAGGGCATATATGTATATGCCACAAAAGACATGCCACGGTAGGAGACTCGCCCTACTGTTCCTTGAACCACCTGGATACCAGAAGGTGGCAAAACCAGCAGCCCACTGTCCAGAAGAAGTTATTGAAAAACTAATTTATGCACCATCATATATAGCACTCCCCTAAAAACGATAATGCAAAGTGACAGAACAGGGAAAAGGATACAACAAAAGAGTAGCATTAGGGAACTTAAGGAAAGTACCTGGACACCAAATAGGAAAAGGCAAGCTAAGCCCAACCATGAGTGAAGACTATAAAAGTTGTCAATTCCTTTGTCAATATGAAACTTCCAAGCAGCCCAAACACCAATTAGACTCAAAAAGAAAGCCATGAATTGCAGGACAAGATGAACTAATTTCCGGAAGCTCTTTGTTCCTGAGACTGTCTTGTACGCCAGCATTGCTGTAGCAATACACACCAAAGTTTGGAGATAACATAATCCATGATGTGAGATAAATAAGCTATGCTGAATTGTTTTCTGGTGCAAGAACTGAAAATGTCACATAACTTTATACTGGAATGATTACTTCTTTTGGTTTTTTCCTTTTCTCTTTTCTGATAAGATACTGAAGAATGATACTTTTCCCTAGAATCAAGTCAATAAAGCAGTGCATGTAGAGAACAGTTCAACAAGCACACTTAGAAAAAAAATACAGCAGCTAGATAAATTTTAAACAGATTCTTTTCATACAAAATGTATAGACAAACAAATTGAAATTAAAATGAAAAATTGCTTTGTTTGAAAGTCTAGAAAAATGAAGAAATTACACTGAAAGCGCGAGCATGTACACTAGTCTAAAAATGGGAGGCGTTGTTAGACTTTAGTTTTTTTTCTTTTGCATATATTACGCTCATAAATATTGCAAGATAACTTTACCGTATTTCATAACAAGACCTAAGGATACTTCTGTTAATCAGTCATTGACGGAAAGATGCTAATTACTATTAGAAGCAATGATCAAGCATTTAGCACTGATGCCACAGCATTATTGTTATCTGCACGCTATCCTTACAAAATTGGATAAAAGAAACAAAAGATCTGAGGTTTACAGCCTAATCTGAATTGACCTGCAAATTCTATGGCAATTCACTCATCAAATGGTGTTCTGTGGAATTTTCACTTGCCCAATAACAAGTATACATTATAAAGATATGTCAAGGTAGATAATTGTTTTTGCGGATGATGATATTCCATTTATGATGCAAAAAGTATTTGGAAAATTGATAAAGGCACGTATCCAAACTAATACATAGAGGAATGTGAAAAGGAAGTCCCTTTACATTCCAGCAACTTTGGAGGTAGTCTCCATGAGCAAGCACCAAAGTACTAGGGTACAATTAAAAATAATGTAAAAATTCAGTAACAGCAATTCTTCATTGCCAAGCAGACTATGGATTAATTGCTAAAGTTTGTAAATGAATAATTTAGTCAGTTAAGAGAAAATAGAAAACATTTACATTAATCTAGTTGTACATGGATATAACAATAATACATCAGAATTATAAGAATGACTTATGATAAAGTAGCTCTTCAAAATGAGTCATTATGTGCAAGTCTTTTAGCTATACAGCAAGAAACAGCAGCATGGTAGGGATGTTTAATCGCTTATTCTATCCTCTGCTTATAAATAGAAGATTTCTTTTAAGAACACTAAACATCAAAATGGTTATATCAGTTTGAGTTGTAGTCTTAATCTTTACCTTCACCATTTAGAAGGACGAGGCTGATTACCATTAAAACAGGATGGACCTGCATGAGACAATATGAAAAGCACATATAAGAAAGAGGTTTGCTTCAGTCTCCGGGAAGCTCTGAAACTTAAACGGCACTACAACAAAAGACAAGTACAAAACAAATCTCGACAGATATTAGTAGTGGACGTTTTCCGGTAGGGGTGCGCATTCGATTTATCGATTTGTACATATGCTTATCGTTATCGTTTCAATATGGTCTCGATTTTTTCGATTTCAATTTATCGATTTTTGGGGCTTATCGATTCGGTTATCGATTACACCAATAAGAAAATTTGCGGGATTCCACGGAAAGTATATTGCTATAAACACGCCTAACTAATATGGATAAAAAGAAGCTAAAATAAAACAAACACCGTTTATAACATAAAAATTATGTCAACAAGCACATGCAACGAAACTAAAGTAAGGGATCAAATGTATGCCACCAACACTCCAACGATATAAAAATAAAAATAAAAATACATCATCACAGCTAATTCTATTTTCCATTAATTTGAACTTCATTCCCTTGAGCTTTAAATATGATCATTCCTTAAATGTGGTAGATAAAATAATAGGGTTAGGGACTTAGGGTAAAGGAAAGGGTATTAATGAATAAGGGTAATTTTTTTTTTTTTTTAGTATATCTTATCGGTTTATCGATAAACCGATAACCGAAGAGGACAAAATCGAAATCGAAATCGATAACTCGATAAGGAAAATTTCGAAATTGAAATCGAAATCGATAAATCGATAAACCGATAACAAATAATCGATTCGATTTATCGATGCACATTCCTATTTTCCGGGGAAGAAAATGCTAAAAGTAGAAGTGACAGGATTGACATTTCTTGTTAGGCACATCCTTTAAGTCTCTTCCTCAAAAATTGACACAGTTCAAATTCACTAATTGGGAGAAGCAGCAATAGGTACAGGAGCTATCACTAAGGCATCACTTGCTTCACCAGTCCCTTGCTCAGACTCTTCCCTTTCGGTGCCGCACCCGTGCCAAAACGACGTGGGTGTGGTTACGATCTATACCGGATCTGGTCAACCGATTTGCGTACTTTGACCAAAATCGACGGAGAAATTTGGGACAAATACAATAATTTTTAAAATCAAACAAAAGCTACCGTGAAATTGAATAAAATGGAATACCTTATATATAGAAATTTCTATGTCAGTCCTTTTCCTTTATCTCCACGAAATATCTTAGTTGTATATAACTGACAATCAACATATCAACTACACCCTCAATCCTAAACTAGTTGAGATCGGCTTAGGGGTGTCAAATGAGCATGTTAGGCTACAGTTTGGGGGGGGGGGGGGAGGAATGGGTTGAATCACTAATTGGATTGGGCCATAACCCTCCCAATGTTTACTGGGGTAAAAATGGCCGAATCATTTAGGCTAAACAATAGGTCATAACCTAACTCGGCCGGCTCCAAAAGAAAAAAAGATTAATTTGTTTGTTTGTTCTTTTATAATTTGTTTAATTACCATATCAGATTAATAATAATACGTATTTCTTTTTTCATTATCACTTGTTCAAACAAATTAATCTCAAACTACTTCTCTATATTTTGTTAAGTTTTCTTATGAATCAGTTGGACTACATATGCATCCCAAATTGGGCCAAACTTTTAGATGGGTAACTTGAGCTATGCCCAAAATGACATGCCAATAAACATATGCTCAGCCCAACCCACCCAAGTTTGGGTGAGTTCGACTTCCATGGGCTAATATTGACCCCCTAGATTGGCTATATGAATCCATACTATCCATTCAGCTCTATTTGGGCCATTTTCAATACAATAATTTGTCTCCCTATAGGAAATGTAAAAGGGGAATGATTGCAAGCAATGTCAAGCTACAAAAAACAATCAGAATAAACAAAATTCCATAAAAAAAACATCTCCATTGAAAAGTTCAAGACATTCTAAAACAGAGATCTTTTTGAAAGGGAAAGAGTGAATCAGTACTTGGCACCACTACAACTACTATTCTCAGAATCTCAGTAACAACAGGTCCAGACTATACAAATACACATTATGTAAAATATTTTCAACTATATCGAGAGAATTTGAGCTGAAACAGCAAGTGCAGCCGTACCTTTTGCACTTGGGCAAAAAAATTACGGTTGCCCCAAAACAATAAGTGCATGACACATACTATCTTTTACCACTAAATTCTATCAATAACCATGGCTAGCCGATATCTTAAGTTGTGAATTTTTCTCATCTTACAGTCAAATTCCATTCGCTTTAGTGCAAAGGTAAAGTAAATAACGTGACTAGGGAAAGGGAAGAAGAGAAATAAAAGAAACTTACGTTAAAGATGAGAGCTTTATTGTCAGAGATGAGTGCTAAACCTCCTCTGTAATGCACACTCCACGTTAAAACCAAGGCTGCCACTGCAACTCCGATCACTCGCACCAACACGAAAATCGGAAATCTCACCACCGGCACCGCCATTGATGAATCCCCAAAAATAGTGGCCTCCTAAATAGTGCCAAAATCTGCAGCAGTTTAATAATTTGATGATCGTCGGATTTCGCAGACCGCTTTCAGATTCGGTCAGTTTTAGATCTCTTCTTAGTCCAGATTTAGGGATGGATATGGACTTTAACGGTCTCTGTGTATATTTATAGTCCTAATTTCCTTTTGACTTTCACAGGGGAGACAGGTCACCACGAAGTCCATGTCAGCTCCACTCTACAACTTCTGTCTTCTTTCTTTTAATGCTAAAAAGTTTTCGATATCTATCATTTGGTTTACAGTATTTGATTTTCAGTAAGTGTAAAACTTCTGTTTTTTTCATTTTCAGAAGTGTAAACTTTTGTTTAATGTCTTGTGAGTCGATATTAAAAACAACCTTTCTATCTTCAAGGGTCCCCACCGGTAATCTGGTTGTTGCATTTTCAGAAAATATAAAACTTTTGTTACCTTCTCTTTACATCCTTTTATTTTCCTTGGATTCCTATGTTATGAAGCATCATTTGTCTAATACATGTTAATTTGGTTCAGTGTTATAACGTTTATATAATGGACATTCTCGCCTATGTGGAGACATTGCAATATGTCAAGAGCCAATTGTCAACGGATGATAACTTCTCAATATATTACAGATGACTACTTTATCGCAATTGAGCAGTCCTCCTCTATATAGTGGATAAAAGGGAAACACTACACTGAAATCATGAATTGACTCAAAATCACGGTAAGACATTATTAACACAAGATGCATCGCTATCAACAGCTTCCAGGGTACAAAGTCTGAAGATTGGTCCTATGGGATCAACCCCCGTAAAATCTTATCATCAAAACCAGAAGTATAAGATCTGACAGCGCAATTGTGATCGATTTGGTAGAATCTCGCTTCTTTGCTCGGAGGATATAAGTGTATGCTGCAGTCTTAAGAGCCTCTTCGCGACTGTCAAATGTTGCAGTCTCAAAAAGGGCTGATCCTGCGAGCTAACTTCAACAAGATTTCGGGGACAAGCCGCCTTCTTGGAGGTGCCATAGCATCCTTAGCAAGAGCTTCTTTGTCATTAGCATGTATATATGCTACTATATGGTCAAAAAGGTCATCTTTACCACCTCTTAGAGGATCCTGCAGATCAAGACACATTAAATTGGAGCAAGAACTGAAACTTTATCTTATCCTAATGATTCAACAAACTATACAAGAATGAACGAAGAGAAATAATCAACTACGAATATTTCATTCCCGCACTACCAGGGAAACAAAAACAACCAAATGCACGAGTGCTTGGAAAAATGGCAGGGATTTAGCTGCGGAGATTGCCCAAAGAAAAGAGTATATCTATTTAGATAATGTTGCCTATATTTAGAGTTAGTTATTGGGAAAAACAAAAACCAAAATCCAGCTTAATGATATCGCTTCATCCTTTTTAGCTGAATTTGACCACGGTTTCTAGCATGAATTCAAATGCTCTTGCCGGAACTGAAGTGGTTCTATTCCCAGCTTTGACCTACATTAGCCAATGAACATACGACAACTGGATAGGCAAAATACGGTGCATACATACTTGAAGGAATAAATCTGTGTGAGTTTTTCCATCATACAATATCAGTTCAGCTTGAGCTTCCACTCTGCAAAGTGTATCTACAAATGTTTTACTGCACAGAACAAGCAAGTTCAACATGTTATTATACAAGTTCACACTCAAACTAGATAGCCATGCTTCTATATAATCCATTTATCAGTCAAGATAGAATCACAAATTGTAACCATATCCTGCATTAAAGTAAAGGTGGTGGGTCATCATTTCTCTTCAGAAGGAATTCAGACCTTGAATCCGATGGAATGGAGCTATCTGAAGTACCATGAAATAGGATAATGTGAGGCAGCAAAGGGATAGCAGCTTTAGAGCTCTGATCCTGTACCATAATTTCAGGAGAAAAATTTCGCAATGATTCTTCCCCTTCCATTATACTGCAGATGACAAGTTAAATCTCAACTTCACAGAAAGGTAAGTGTGACAACTTAAGCTAAGTAAAGGTTATGCCTGTTCTGTGAGAGAATGCTGTTAGAGGATACCTCAAGAAAATTGAGCGATATAACCCTCTATTATTGAAATGATCAACTAAGTTGGGCAAATTGTACCTGTCAAGTCAAACAATATGACATCAATTAGCAAGAAATCAAAAAAATAAACAAATAAAAAGAGCACGCCAACTGACGGAAAATAACACACAAAATGCAAACAATTCTTTGCTTGAGCATTTGTAGCAAAAGAATGCTGCGGGGAAAAAGAATGCTACACCAATATGGTATAACGAAAGAAGCAAAAGTTTAGGGCAAGGAATAGAAAAAGAAGAATACTTCAATTACTTTTATCCGATTTCAATCATGTGGAATCTAACTCATATCTAAATCGAAAATAATAACGACATAGATAACACAGCCACGAAATTGGTCGCTTACCCGCCTGATAAACCAAAATAAGCTTTTATCTGGGAGGTAGTCCAAGAAACACTTTCTCCTCTAGATTCTTTGATTGCCTGCTTCATAAGAGCACAGGAAGAGATATGTGCACCAGCAGATTGACCCATGAGATAAATCCTGGATAAATATAAGAAAATATCTAGTCATTGATAAGTAAAAGGCTTCTTAGGAATTGTCCAGTATTTCTATTTCATATTTTTCCTCCCTAGATCTGACTCCATAAGAACTATTCCCCCACCCCCACCCCCAATCCATAAATAAGAATGATGAAGTGTGGTGTACATTCTAACACTGAAAATAATCTCAAGCATTCTTATCCTAGATAGTGATGTGGACATGGTTATCCAATTATTCTCTAAATACAAATGGGCAGCACATTTTTTACCTGTTTGGGTCACCACCATAATCAGCTATGGTGTTGCAAACAAATGAGATTCCCTGAGAAACATCTTCCACCATATCGCCTATTGTTCCTTGTGGAAAGTTTCTGCAACCAAAGAGTCTATTATGCATCTCGAACATGCACATGAGTATTTTGATCGTGCGAAGGCATTGCTGAACAAAGAAAATGAGAGGACAAAGAAAAAAGAGTCTATTATGCATCTCGAACATGGACATGAGTATTTTGATCGTGCGAAGGCATTGCTGAACAAAGAAAATGGGAGGACAGTAAAAAAGTCACTGATGCAGTGTACATCATGCTACATAATGATGTTTTGATCCCACCAATATCTTTTTCGGAAAAAAGGAAGTTATTTGTCTCACTTAAGTGATACTCCCTCCTTTTAATTTTATGTGTCTTAGTTTGACTGGGCACAAAGTTTAAAAATGTAAAGAGATTTTTGAATTTTGTGGTCTTTAACCAAAGGTGTGTTAACATACCAAAGTACTTTTTGAATCTTGTGGTCTTAAACATGCCATGTCATTCCTGTAAGAGACTGTTACTAAGGGTAAAATGACAATGTTGAAATTAAAAACATACTAAATATAGAAATATAGCATTTTTCTTAAACAGACTAAGACGGAAGTAAGACAAATAAATTAAAATAGAGGGACTGCTAAAGGTTTTAGCAATAAGGAAATGCAGAATGGATAAACCTTAAAAATAAAAGTAGAGCTTGTCCCATACATCCATGAATACCAGTTAATATTGCTGATTAGAAAGTGAAGATTTTGATCAGAATTATGTTCTATGGATTCACTATTAATATTATTTCTTGGTTCCCTTTTCTATCTATGGAATCATCCAAGGGAACCAGTAATACACCGAAAACACATTTAGTGGACCACAATATGTAATTTCATAATTCAACCAGTTACCTGTAATCAATGCATGCTACTATAATGTCATGTTCTGATAATTGCTTTCCTAAGAGAGAACCCCAGGCCTTGTACCTGCATGAGTACGTGGACTTCAAAATAAATATTATATGCAGGATTGAACATGACTAAAGGAGAGATAATTAGTGATATGCAGAAGTATCTAAATATAATCATTTTGTTTTTAGCTCCAGTTATTGATCTCATGTGTGTTATTATGGAGATGGGCCTGAGAGGCCAATAAATCATTGTTTGGAGGTAACTCAGCCATGCAACATGTTTAATCTTTGTCAGAACAGAGAATCTGAAGAGAAGAGAGCTTCATATTTGTTGGTGTTTGTTTGTGCAACTAGAGAGGAGACAGACCACTTTACATTAGCGTCGTAGTGTTTCTGTGAGCTCTAAACCTCATACTTAATCTTTCTGGAAGCCACGTGGAACATTCCAAGTTACGGTAAAGGAGCTCTGTAGGGCTTCTATACACATCATATGAGTAATGTCGAATTTGGCATGGGAGCAAACTCCATGAGTTCTTGATGGGGTTGAAATTTCAATGTCAAAAATCCAAAGCACCTTTTTTTTCCTTGGGGTATATATTTTGTCCCAGACAGGAATTTTAATCATTAATTCTTTCATCTAAACCAGGAAAAGGAATGTTGCAGAGATGGGGTTTACCTACCAGAGCCCCCAAGTGTATATACTACAGTTTATCATACAAAATATCTGTGGAGGCTTCCAATACTTCACATGTTTACTCTATTGCAGATGCCATCCTAAAATGCATCCACATAACTTACTATTGACCACATGATTAAGATCTCCTGTCACCAACTGTATCTAAGGGCCAAACACACACTTCAGATTGTCGATAATTTTTTCAATTCAGGAATCATCACTGGCTAGCTTCAGGAAAACCGTAATAGCTTGAGAAGGCAGAAGGTCGCAGGCAACTATTTATAAAATTGAGAATTCTGGAATTTGGAATCAATAACAAACTGTCATCTTACAGAGAGTAGATAGTATAGTAGTATAAGAGATCTGAGATCGTTATACACAATTGTCAGTATTTAATCCATACACCAATTATTCCAATATGATAAGGAAAGAAACTTGACAAATTTATGGGCTTAAACAAGCCTCTTGATACTGGCACTTGCAATTTGATGCTAGTATCACTGTTTTGAAATTAGTCGATCGGGTCCCACAGATACACAAAAGTTCCAAAGCTGAAATGAAGGCATCAACAGGAATAATTTCCGCAAGCGGGAACAAAATAGGAAGTCATTCTTCTCTTTTCCATAACCTAAAGTGAAAAATACACCCATCAGGTGCGAGAGTGGCAATAGCAGTCTTAGTAAGGTAGGAAAGCCCTTTATCAATTTCATGAAGAGAAGCAGAAACCTAAATGCCCTAAAAGCAAAATAATGATAGTTCATATCATATCACTCGAGAGGTATAAGAGGAAATTTATGATCAATTATACAAATGAGACTAAATGCTAGATCTCTTGTTTTTTACGTACAAGAGGAACTTAAGGTTTAAAACGAAAGAAAGGAGAAGTATCTAGCTTTCTTACTAACCCAATAATCCATGCTCCACCTGTTACAAACGCCACAACTGGCTTTGGTCTGTTTATATCTTCTGGTAGATATAAGTCCAACCTACAACATAATGTCAGTTTAATCGACCTGAAAAAGTAGGTAAGGAGAAAAGATGAAATAGTGACATACCTATTCCTCGGTTGATCACCATAAACAACACTTCGCCGGACTAGCGGTGAAAAGAAATAATAAAATGCAACTGCCACAATTGACAGATATAGGTTAAATGTGGTCCTTATGTGACAATTATAAGATATAATCTATATATATATATATAGTATGTAGCTGCTGAATACAAAAGAAGCACTGCAGATGTCTCCGTTACAGGAGGTCCTTGGTAAATGTGACTCAGCAAATGACTACAAAACAACCCTCTCAATAGTAACCCACCCTACAGCCACCCCCCCCTCCAAATGAGAAAATATGACCATTCAAAAATATTTTGCTATATGAAATGTCCAAACTAGTAAACAGGCTTTTTTGCCAATGCTTTGCAGAAGCGATTTATTTCTAAAATGGTCACAATATTATTCCACAAACAAGAATGCATCATCCAATTTCCTGATTTTAGTCTTTTTGTTTGAAGAATTATATTAGCAATGGACATATGAATGAGAAATATGAGGGAGTTCATTTATAGCTGCAATATGCATTACCAGTTATACCCGGGACTTTTCAAACTGATGGTCATAATATTATTCCATAACAAGAATGCATTAGCTGTTTCCCTGATTCTAGTTCTTCTATCTGAAGAATTGTACTAAAAACAATTCTTTTTCAGACATATGAATGGTATAACAAAGGGCATATTCTTAGCTTCAGTATGAATGTCTTACACTATAGAAGGTATCCTTATTCTTTTGATATGAATGAATTGGAAAAGAGCACATTCTTGTTACACTCACCTTGGAGAAAACCAGGCATAAGTAGCATCGCATATAAGGCAAGACCCAAAAGTCTTGTAATCCATCGATAACCTAACCTGAATAAAGGAAGTAATAAGAAACTACATCTTCTGAAACAATTCCTCAATATCTGGTCATTCGCAACACAATTTTTTCTTTGTGCATCGGTAAAAGAAAGCAGCCACTAATGCTTGCATTAGGTAGGCTGTTTACATCACATCCCTTGGAGCGCAGCTGTTTCCTGGATATCCTGCGAGATGCTTTGTGCACCGGGCTGTCCTTTTATTGTATGGTAGAAATGGAAATCAGAAATCTAGAAGAAAGCTTTGGGAAAAAAACTAAGGCCTATTTATGCTGGTTGATTTCAAAATTAAACATGACAAGTCTAGCACTCACAGATTATAAACTTGGCAATAGTGAAAACGCCAAATTTAACTGATGTTAGTCATATGCCGGTAAAACTAAAGAATTCAAATAAATACTAGTAACAGTATTTGACCGAATCTGGAATCCATGTTGCAACTCATATTGAATTGTACACGGAAAAAAAACATGTTTGAAGCAGAGACCAGTAGTATCAAGAAAACCAAGGAAAATGAATCCTCTATCCATGTTGTTCAATTTGGGCCCATTCCAAAATTATAACTTGACAAATAATACAATTTATTTGAACTTGATAACATTAAATTCCTAAGTTCAACTAATACAAGTCATATACCACTAATACTATAATGCGTTTGGATTTGAAATAAAAGAGTGTTTGAAGCTGAAGTTGAAAAAGGGTATATTGAAGTTAATAAATCAGAGCAGTTATTCGAAATGAGAGCAGTTAATTATTAATAAATAAAAGAAAAGGGGTACCCGAGATAGCTAAGAAGCTTGAAACTAAGGCGGGTAATCAAATAGGTCTCAGCAGCAGCGTGCCCAATTTCACGGCTAAAAGATCCTTGACGACACAACCCTGCAGTTGCAGGCGTGGACTTAGTCTTGTTCAATGGTTTTCTCCTCCTTTTGTAATTATTTGAAGGCAAAGTAGAAGCCCTAGATAATAATTGTTCATTCTCCGTCGCCATAACCAAATAAGAATTCCGACAACAAAGGGGAGGGAGATCTTAGATTAAGTCAAAAGAAAACAAGTGCGTTATTCTAGGTGTCACTGTCAGAAATCTTGGACTTAGGCGGGAGCCATGATTTATTGTGTCATATAAAATTTCAGTTGACACTTAGATATTCACTAGGTGACGGTTATTTGAGGGGTCCTTTCCAAGTTCCAACTGTTCTTCTGAAGGTAAAAATAGATTTTAAGAGAAGTAAAACTATCAAGATTTATGAGTACATGGCAAATGAACGGGTTGCGCTCAATTTGGGCAGGTCAAGATGGGTTAGGTCAATAAATGAGTCATTGACCAACCCAATCAAAGTGTACTTGGGCTAAGATGGGCTGGTCAAGTGGGCTAAACAATGTGTCATAGTCAAATCCGTCCAACTTGACCCATGTTTTAGAACCATGCTCATCTTGCAAAAAAAACTTTTTACATTAAAATGTGTAAGTTAAAAAATATTTTGCGGGTGGGGGTGAGGGTAGGTGGGTGGTGCAGAAAAACGAAAAAATACAAAAAAGAAAAAGTAAAAAAGAAATTTTTGAGGGGGTTTGGGGGGGGGGAATTGGGTGGATGGGCGGTGCAGGAAAACAAAAAAAACAGAAAATAAAAAATACAAAAAAAAAAGTAAAAATAATTTTTTTTGAGGGGGTTTGCGCGGAGGGTGTAGGGGAAGGGTAGGGTGGGGTGTGTGGTGCAGAAAAATAAAAAACAGAAAATAAAAAATAAAAAAAGTAAAATTTGGGCAACTAAATAAATTTCTAGATAAGTTGGGTTGAGATCCCTTTATTTTGAGTGAGTTTCATGGGTTGTACTTGAGCTGTTTAATGGGTCAGAATAAGCTATAAAAAAATAATTGGTTAACTTGGGCTCAACCCAAATAGACTCATGAGCTAAAATGTTTGTAGCCCACCCATTAATCTCTGGACGAGTTGGGCGGATTAGATGAGTTTGAGCTTAAATTGTCACCCCTAAGTACAGAGTACTATTTTATTTATTCTACCACATCTAATCTAATATTTTTTTTTTAAATTAATTGTCTAAACTACTAATACCATTTATCACTTTTCTAAATGTATCGCTTAATTAATATTCTATTTATTGGGAATATAAGAGTGCAATTGAGAAAAAGTATCCTCTGTCCCAATCTATGCGAGAATGTTTCATGAAGTTTAAGAGGAAATAAAAAAAAATTAAAATTTGTGATCTAAGCTAAACTACTATAATTTTTTTTATGAATATAAATCATCTCATTAAGAGTAAAATAAAAAGTTTAAAATTAAATTATTACTAAATATAAAGAATGTCATTCTTTTTTTACTGAATAGAAAGAAGAGAGTGTTACATAAATTGGGACGGTAAAACTAATAAATTTCAATTTAAAAGACGTTAAATATTTGAAACAATAATTTATAAGTTCATTAAAACGACTAATTAATATTTGGATTAGATGGAAAACTTTATAGATTTAGACTTAGTATAAACATAAGTATTTATTTTCAAAATCATTTAACAACTATAATATTCATGCATAGTTATCATTATTGTTGTTATTATATATATATGGTTCAAGCCAAAAATAATAAGCACAATTTTACCGATGGTCCAAACACTACAACTGTCCCAGCTAATGATGATGGAATTTTATGGAAAACAACCTCATGTGCAAACATCAATTAATGCGTTGTGAAAGGGTGTTTGTGGTCGTAAGAATGATTGATTGATTATTAAGCCATTGATCTTGATTGTTAAATGTGGAGGAGCTTGTGTTGTTCGGGGTGAAGTTTGCGTTATTGTCAATGTTGTGTAAACTTTGAATTCCATACAATTAACACCAATGTCACATCAAGAATAACAAATACTTTTGACCACCATCACTGTTTAGCTAGTACACATTGCTTGAACATTGTCAACATTCAATTTTTGGAAGCTTTCTCATAAGAGACTGGTGCAATCGTCCTAATCCTCCAACATCCAGAATGTCTTTACCCACGTCTCGTGTTGGTTGATCGGGACGGTATGATATTTAAATATTTCAGTTTAATATTTTTTGTATTCGGTTTTTAAAATATTATATTAATAACGTACTTAATTAAGTTTGGAACGGTTATGTTTTTTTCTTTCTGTTTTGATTTATTTGATCTGGTAATTTCGATTTATTCGACTTGAAAACAAGTGCATAGAACCGTAAATTATAATATTTTTAATTAAAGTACTCAAAAAATATAAAATAAAAATATTCTAAACTCACCTGACCGTTGATAAAATCTTTGTTCAAAACCAGTAAGTATCAAATCATAGAGCGAAAAACGGTACATAAAAGAATAAATTTAATAATTAAAATATCTTGTTACTTGCTTAGAGTTAATTGTTGAAGTTAGAGAATGCAACAAGGACCAATCCAACATATGCAACAACAATACATGAGTAAGAAACACCTTAAAATTGTAGAAATATTATGTCAAACTATTTGGCAATCCGGAGAGTAAGAACCAAAATCTGCAGCCTACCTTGTTCCTCCATTTTTTTCAAAGAAGTATACGAACTTTACTACCAGCCTCAACATGAATACCAAAAAAGGTGTTGTGTCTCTTAGTATATTATATCAATAAGATGTATTGTTTATATATTTCGATACGATATTGATATTTCGATACAATTTTTTAAGTACCAAATAACTAGAGCTGTCAAAACGGGCTAGTCCAGCCCAAACCTCGCGGGCTTTTAAATTTGGTGGACTAGGGCGGGCCGACCCTCCATCTAAATGGGCCTTAAAATGGCCAGCCCAACCCATCCCTAAGAGGGCCGCGGGCTAGGGTGGGTTGGCCCTTCATTTTTTTTAATTTTTTTTTGTTTATATTTTTAAATATTTCTTTATGACATAGTCTCTTAATCATATGAATGACTTCTGTTTGTTTAGAGTGTACAAGAATCTTGATATTTGACAAGGAATCTCGTAATTTAAATGCAAATTTTGTATTTCTAACTCTTTTTTTTAATGTTACATGAATATATTTTTAATACTTTTCCTTCACTTTTCTCATGTTCAGGAATTATTTCAATAAGTTTATATGTTGAGATTTTTTAATATAGGTTTAACATCATTTGTTGACTTTATCGTTATAGTCCATAAAAATTTTAAAATTCATGAAATTTACTAGTGTTGTCAATTTTCTTTAGGTATTAAAACTTGATCTTTTTCTAAACTGAAGTGTTGTTTAATTTTTAATAATATATTAACCAAATTGATCATTGGCCACTTCAAGTAATATTTTATTTTGAAAAAGATTATTATTGGCCACTTAAAATTTTCCTAGATCGTTGTTAATTAGGCAAAAGAAAAACTAATATTGCATACTACATGCATATCAAAAATTTAAATTCTAATTGATATGGACGGGTAAATGAGAAATCTAAGTTTGAGGAATAGGAGTAATAGTTAATAATTTGTTTAGTTTTTATATTTTTTAAATATTAAATATTTAAATTTAATGAATTTCAGCCCACGGGCCGACCTAAGGCTTGCCTCGGTCAAGCCTCAAGGGCCAACAGACTGACTTGGGCCGGGCTTATAAGCCTCAGCTTTAAATGGGCTAAAAAATCCTAACCCAACCCTACTTAAGTCGAACACACGACCATCTGCAGAGGTTGAACCCGCTTGGACCATCCGACCAAGGCACAACTTTATATTAGTGGGTTCAATCGCTTTAGTTTTATATAAAACAATTTCTTTGAAAAATAATTTCACATAAAATAAGTAAAACATATTTACGAAGTTGGTTCATCCGAACCCCCTCTAACCAATGTGGGTCCGCCCCTGAACATATATACATATGATCATTCGTGTCTAGTATAAATCCGCAGCTGTTTGCATAGTCTTCCCTCTCTCTTTCCCTGCTTTTGTAAGTTTTTGTTATAAGGGACTAGCGTGATCCAAAAAAAATATATTTTTTGCCATATCAATCAAAACTATAAAGCACGCTTAAATTTCTATTTTAATTTTTAATACCAAAAGTAATTATTTTAAACTACACTAAGACATAAGAACGAAGATTGAATTGTGTCTTGCTTGATTTTTATGTTTTCGAAGAAACTGGTTCTTTCAACTACCCAAATAGACAAACAAAATAATTGCATAAAAGTAATCAACATAGAGATTTATACTTGGAAAACGTCCTTGCTCAAGGGAGCCAAAATCACGACCTACCCAGTAGGATTTTTTTCAAATCTCCACTAAAGTACAAAGAGCAGTTTTAAGTTACAACTCAATAACCAAGGGGACTAACTCTAGTACCCTAACCCTTACAAACAACCCAATTGTGGCAACCCCTTTCCAGACTAATTCTAGCCCAGAAAGCTTACAAAAATAAAGTTTCAATTATAACCTACTATTACACTTCTTTAAAATCAGATAAGTTACAATTCATATTACAGACTCAACCTAACAACTAAAGAACTCAAGCAGCTTCATCTTCAGGAACTGGTTCTTCAGTTGGTTTGATTGAATCTTCAGAAGTACCTTTTGCTGTGCTTGCTATTGTTAGAAGTTTTCTCAATGATTTTTCTCAATAGCAGTAATCTTTTAAGTGTGGTAAAAAATCAAACTAGGTTTGTTGTAGATGCAAGGTTGGCCAAAAATCTTCTTCAATTAGTGCTCCAAAACCTAAAATATTTCAGTTAAGGAAAATCTCTCCTATTTAGATTCTGTTTCATTGTCACGCCCCGACCTTGGGGAGTGATAAGTGGGGATTTTGACTAGTTATTAGCGTCTTTTAGCTTTTGTTTTAGTTTAAAAGCGTTTAATTGTTTTCTCGAAAACTGATGAAATGTGCGTAATTGCAGGAATATTGGAAGATGAACCCCTGAGATGAAATCCAATTCAAGAAGGAGTAATCTGAACTCAAGAACGCAAAAGGCACAGAAGCTCAGAAGTGCGGACCGCAGAATATCATATGCGGCCGTAGAGTATGAAGGAATGGTCAGCAAAAAAGGTGTAAAGTACGGTCTGCACATGAGTGCGGCCTCAAACAAAGGCTAGGACCAAAAGTTCAGAGAATGTGCATTCCAAGCCCCTAGAAGTGCGGACCACACAAGAATTGTGCGGCCGCAGAGGAAGAGCTATGC